GAAATAATCGCGGTTACGAGCGAGCTTACGGGATAAAATTACACTCGGGAAGGCGATTGGCCAGAAATTGATGCCCACTCTGGCACAGGACACTGGTGGCGTTTAGATGATTCGAGACGATGTCTTTGAAGCTGGTTCTCGTTTTGACTACCTCGATCGATAATAGCCTCGAGACGGTGGTCGTGATGAGGAAAAGATTCCAAGCGAGAACACCGAGCAGGCAGACGCAAATTAGTGACAATATTGAGCTATCTTGTCCCACGATACTTGACATTTGCATAGTAGATGGGTTACTGGAATTGGTAGCACGCGATCACGAGCACGAAAATTTCTCCATATCAGCCTAAACGCATCGTTTACACATCCTTTTTACTTGATTGACGCTTAACACGATTAATTTTCACCCAAATTTACGCCTCGCGCCCTAAAATTTCCTTCCTACGAGAGATTTAGGTTATCCAAAGATATGAATTTTGCAAATTGATTGCACTTGTTTTCGCCTCACCGTCGAATTTTCCAACTTGGATTCTCCACGAAAACCAATTGAAATTGGCATCGGAAATTTTCCGCGGTTATTCGTTCGATAACGTTGCTTCTTCCACCCTAGTGCAAAATTTACTTTACCGACCAGCGCTACCTCGATCGAAGAAGTATTCTTCGAAATACTCAAAATTTGTCTTAAACGAGATAAATATTGGAAGGAAATATTCGACGAAAATCGATTTCAGCGAAAGGATCGCGTAACAGAGAACGATCCGTGTAGTTGGGATATAATTTCTAGTTGGAATCGTTTCGCGAATCCCGCATTTTCGACGTAAATATTTTTCCCTCCCTTCGTGAATACGAAAACAAACGAGGAGGAAGAATTTTTCGAACACGTTCGATAAATTATAAGATACAATTTTATGCAAATATTTTTGCTCGGATATTAAACGACCACGTCTTTAGAATTGCAAATGCTCCGTGTTATTAATATTTATGTATTTATGGAATTTAACGATTTCGCGTCAGATACGATCGAACACGATTATCATCGACATCATTACGATTCAATGTCGCCAAGTTCGAGGTCACGAATCGTAATTGGACAATTATCTCGAATATAAAATCGGTGTCTAAAATTATAACTTTATCGAAAAAAGGAAAGAAAGGAAGATAACTATATCATTTTTCCTTATCGACGGATTCGTTCGAATCGATCGATCGGATCCCCCTTTTCTCTCTTTTCCTTTTTTTTTTTTTTTTTTTTTTCATGCAAGAGGAATCTGGACGACCACCGATATCGAGCACTGGTTTTTCACCATTTCCCCGAGTGGCGTGTATCGAGTATCCGGTTCACCCTTTAATCCGCACGCATCGCACGTACACGTTGACGTTGACGGTTGGAGGACGTTGTCGAGCGTCAAACGCATGCCCGCGTTCCGGAGGACTCTCTAATGGAGTGTCCTGCCGGCTCGAGTGGATCCGTTGCATATCATTTACCTTTACGAGCGAACGCGGTTACGCACTCGGTCCATGCTTTCCATCCTGTTTCCTCTCCAATCTTTTTCGTAAGTCGTCGCCACCCCTCCCATAAGTATTTCTGCTTAAAATTTCCATTTAAGAGCAATCCGTTAAAGCGATGGACTGGCCGAAGATAAAATATTTGAAGTCTTTTCAAATCTACGGATATATTTTCTTCGGGGGCTTTCACGCTCTGCTTGGATCCGCGAAGGTGCATTATTGTTTCGACGAGTTAAAGAGGAGGAAAAGACGATCGAAGCTGGAGAGAGACTGGAGAGCGAATTGCGTGCGCAGATATCCGAAATCGATCCGACGAAAAGAAAATCTACCTACGATCTGGATCTACTCCCGACACCCAACGATTTTTCACTCGAATTACGTAGGCGAGGATTGGAAGAAAGGGGCGGCTCGAGCCCCGCCACAAAGCGTTTCCTTCAAAAAGAAGGGAAGAATGGAGGCGAACAGAGGTATTACTCCAGTTTCTCTTAGGGACTCTTAGCGAGTCGTAGGAAGAAAAGTTTCATGCATACGAATGTACGGATAACTCTGGATGCGTTTCAAATTGAGACGCTCGAGAGAAAGAGAGAAAATGAAGAAGAAGAAGAAGAAGAAGAAAATTTCGCGAAAGAAGAAGCCTTAGCCTAATTACCTAAAAAAGACGAGAATACGATCTTTTTTACCCCGTATATGGCACAAGAGGGAAAAAGAGGACGAAATAAAACCGAGGAAGGAAAAAGAGAGAGTAAAGTATCGGCCTGATTATTGGAATAACTCGATCTCTTATCTTACAGGCGGCACGAAAAGTGAAGGGGAAGGAAGAGGGATTACTTGATAATAATATTAAAAAAAAAAAAAAAAAGGAAAATGTTAGCCCGATTACCAGAGCAACGTGATTTCTGTCTTACAGGCGGCGCCGAGACAGACGCGGTACACGCGATATTGGCCAGATACCTTCAGAGGCGTCTTCAGGGGTCTCAGCTGTCGACGCCTCCGCCTCCGGCGGTCCTCTTCAGTAGCCATAACCAGGCCAGAGTGAGACAAGGTCAGAGGACGACTGGCAATGCATTGCCGAGGAATGTGAGCGAGAAAGAGAGGAGGGGAGGGATGGAGGATTACGAGGATTACGAGGACGACCTTGAGGGCTTCGAGGACAGTGAGAGGAGCAGGACCAGATTCGATTTGTTCGCCGGTAAATCCTTGAGCCTCGCTCGAGCCACATATTTCCATATCGTCTCGCGTTTTTACCTTTTCTCAATTCACAATTTTCTTATTTCGGGACAAGCCTTCGAGATGGCCGAAAGGAAAGAAATATCGGAGAGATATTTTCGCAAGATTTCGTTGCCAACAACTTTTTCATCGATTGTAAAGAATATATCGCCGAAATAGAAAGTTGATTAGTAATAGCCACATTAGCACTTGCGCGAGAAGAAGAAACTTGGCTTCGAGTATATCTAAAATAGAAAGTTAGAAGGCCTTAAATTTTTCGTTGTAGCAAACCTATCCATCTTCTATCCATCCCGAAATAGAAAACGAAGTTAAAAATTTGATTGATATCAAAGTTGGAATTTTCCCACTTTTGTCTCGAGTTATCACGCTTGAATATTGCGTAGGCGCGTGATAACTCTTGTACAATTAGCACGTTTAATCCGGTTATCCCGTTATTTAGCCAGCCATTTCTGTTATTACACGTAAAATACAAGGATGGACGGATTATCGAGCCGGGCCTGTGCGTAACCGTGCAACGAGGATAATCGAATAAAACGAGGGCTAATCGGACAATCGAAGATAACGCCATCCCAGACTGCTATTAATATCGCGATATTCCACCGAATAACGCTTTCTAATCGACCGATTCCGAATTATTATCGTTATTTCTTTCTTCTCGCGCTTCAATCGCGATTAAATCGCGCGGCGCGTTTTTACCCAAAAATGATTCGTCTAATTTTCCTCGCCTTTTACCATTATCTTCAAAAGTCGAAAAAGTTTATCGACTACTTGCCGCTTGGAATTTCGATTCGAGAGAGAGAGAGAGAGGGAAAGATCGATGTCCACCGCCTCGAAATTACCCATCTGCCGTATGTAATTCGATGACAGGGATAGGAGCGTGCATCGACGTTCCAAACCGTTCTCGTTCTCGAATCGTTGGAAACGCTAGTCTCTGCGTTTCGAATAGCGAAAATGCGTTTGTCCACCTTCTCGTCTCGATCGGAGATAAAAGGATCGTAAATATATTTCTATCATTTCTGTCACTTTGCTAGTCCAATTTAATTAATTTTCGAGCAGTTGTATATTGATATTGCTTCAATCGTGATAAAACAATAATACACGTAATACAGTGTTTATCGAATAACCGTGCATGTACACGTGGCGTAATAATAACAACTGGAATATATATATATACTAAATATAGAATAAATTTACATATAGCGTAATGTCATACGTCGCAAAGTTAATTTATTTCCAGTGTAATTTGAATTTTTTTCGTGGAGGTAAAAATCGTAGTTTGTAGAGATTAAAATGTCATTTCCAATTTTTCGAGAACAAAATCAAAAATAAAATTTTAAATATGATTTCTTCGTTGCGTGACGCACCATGTGCGTAATCGTACACAATTTCGATTAACGTTTTTCGTCGGAACCCGTTGCTTTTTTAACTCGTTTAATAATTCTTCCCGAGGAAACTTTACACGGCTAATACCGTTTCGTAGCGGTTGCCACGATTCCTATTCAATTTTCACGAGGCTCCTTTGAAGTTCTCGACGAGGCGCGCTTTATCGCGGAAAAATGGGAATTGAAACTTGCTCTTTGTCTTTCAAATTTCAAACTCTCGACAAAGTTCGCGACCATCGCTTAAGTCTTGCGTTCCTTCCATTTTCCGCTACAAGAAATTTCATTGCCAGAAAAGACCCCCTTCTCCTCCCATCCTTAATACTTAATCCCTCCGTTATTACGGAACCAATTACCGATCGATCGCAGCGAATTTCCTCCATCGAAACTCAACGTTTGAAAGCAAATTAAATTACTAAACCACCTCGTGGAGAACGTCTATCCGGAAAAACCGAGTGATTCGATCGAGCGATTGGTACGTACGAATAGAAGAGAGAAACAAGAATTCCGCGCAACGATTGACACGCATAGAAACGCGACGTATCCTTTTTTTCCTTTTTTTCCTTTTTTTTTTTAACGAAAACGTTTCTCTACAATCACCCCCGTCCAACGATTCAAAGTCGGGGAGCTCGATATTCCGAACGAAAAGCCCGTCGTGCTTTTAATCGAGCGCAAGGGATTTCGATATTCGGCCGATACGCGATCGAGCCAGCCATCCAATCGAACCGGTCACGGGCCGTCGATCGCGTCCAGGGTGCAACGACTTGTTGATAAGTTTTATTCGTCACCGCTCCCCCCTTCCTTTATCCTCTGCCTTCCACAATCGGTTCCACGTTCGTCCAATTAAATGTTCGCGGCCTGCTTCTCGTAAACTATCTTTCGACTTTATCGCCAAATTGTCCGATCGGGTTCGTTAATACCCGGATTTCTATCGAATACTCGAGTCCTCCATCCCCGTTTTTTTATGGACACGGAATTCTGGAAAATCGTTCATTAAAGCAACGCAGAGATAAATTTTAAGTTTACAAGGTTATCGTAGGAGTATTTTTAATTTTATAAGGAATAAACGGAGGATAAAAAGTCCGCAGCGAATTGCAAATTTCTTCGGTACGATTTCAAAGGAAGTGTGTCAAAAGTGTTTGCGGTATTTCGTTCCAAAGTTTTCTTTGGCCCGCGGCGGCTCGAAAATTAGCGGATGCGTAGTAGGCGTGTTTGCACAGATTCCAGAGGGGGAAAGTCGCGAAGAACAAACGTTTAGCCTCTATCGATTTTTTTTTCTTTTTTACGTTTAAAAATTCGGAAAGAGACGAATCTATCGATACAAAAATCGATGTAAAAATGGTAGAAGAACTTGTTAATCCGTAGAAATTATATTTTTTCAATAAAGTTGAGCAAATTCGGGAAACTACGTAGCCGATATTATTGAATAGTACAACGTTACGTATACGTATACGTAATCAAAGTTTCGTATCGAGAACTTGATACTTCGACTCCACCTAAATCTTAACCATTGTTAGAATTCTAATCTAACTCTGCTAATTATACGGTGGTAACTCGGTGGTAAGTTGGAACACATCGAATACTCGATGAATTTACCGTTGGAAGTTAATTAGAATAATTCGGCAATACTTCGTTCGAGAAAACTTTCGTAATCGATAGTTTGAGTTGATTATTCTCAATTCCTTCGTTTTTCCATTTTTCATCGCCGATATTTCCTCATGATCACTCCAATATACTCGATTCGATTCGTAAGATTTCTCGCCGTAGCTTCTTTTACGCCTCCAAGATATTCTTCGTTGTATCAATCACGCAGGATCCGTGGAAATTGTATATATTTATAAAATGACGTTTCATGTATAGTTGTTTATTGTACGTGATATATGTTGCATAATGGAGCGTGAAATTAATGCATCGTATACGTGTTTCGGTTGAATAAATGCGAGAATAGTTGTTTATCTGGATCGAATGCATTTTCGTTAAAATATTCGTATAAGGAAACGAAAGAGATTGGATAAAATTTTCATTTTCCACTTTTCAATAATATTTTTCGAAACGTTTCAAATTTTCACTCGTACGTTTACCAAAACATCAAACTCCATTTTCCAACGAAATTTTATACTTTTCGAAGAATCGTTTGCATTTTTTCTCTTCAACGAATAATACACACAAATTACTATAGAAAAAAGTAACGCGTTACCTTCCAAAACATCCTCCATTTTTATATCGTTGCGTTTTCGCCACCCGGTTTTAATCTAGCCCGGTATATTACCGTCATTCTTCCAAATATTCCAAGTAAATAATTTCACGGAAGATATATCTGCCATAACTGTGGCGGCCATTTCGAAGCCGCGGCGCAATTTCGCGAGTTGGTCGAATTACGTTTAACCATAGAGCCGGAACGGGCACGCCACGGGCAGACCGATCGCGTAAAATAACGATGAAATTGCGAATAGAGCCGATATCTGCTCATCACCTGTCACCTGGCGGACCCCCCACCCTATCGTTTCGTCCTTTTCTCCACATTTCCCAGGGATTAATATTATCCATCCACGCGTGTAACGCGCCTCGATTCCCCCGTTCCCAAATAATTCCCTCTCACGTTCCGATTTATTTGCACGGCCATATTACCCACGTAAATTTCGCTTTCCTTCCAAGAAGATACGTTCGAGCAATTTATAAAAATATATTCATACATTATTCGCCAGGCATCGCTTTATTTTAGCGGAGCAAAATATTTATCCGAGAATTTTAATTTTCCGAGAACGCGAATCGTTTATTCGATCGAAAGCGGAAAGGAGAAGTTTGAAACTCGATATGTGTATAAATTATGTCGCGGCTGCGCTAAATAATTCTTTCCGACAACGCCCAGGGGATGTTAACAGAGGGAAAATAGAAACGAATTTCGAAACCTCGTGTTTCCTGATAAATAATCGATTCTTGTTGGAAATGGATGTGACGCGTCCTAAACCGAGTACCCGTGTCGCGAAGACAGCGAATAGGAACGACAAACCTGAAATTTCTATCCCGATATCGCAGTAAATAGGATCGCTCGATTTCGAATCTTTGAGAAACCTTTCCTCGGACTTTTACCACTTCATTGCGAAAAACTTTTACCTTTCGACGAAATCTCGTCGGTTTTCGCAGGAAAAATGAAACTTTTCGTCCCGTGAAGTAAATAAAATTATATCGAACTCTGTACGTCGCGCTTTCCCGACCTTCCCCTTTTCGAAATTACGTAATAATAATAATAATTGATCTTTGGAAGCTTTAATCCGAATCGATATAAAGCACCCGAAACTTAAATTACTCGCAGTTTCGAAATAAACAATTCGATCAGATTGACTGCCAGTTTGGTTCTTGAAGCAGTTGCCAATTTTTAATCACGATTTCGTGGCGATCGTAGCTTTCCATGTATAAACGTTAATTAAGCTAGGAATTTAAACCCTAGGTTTAATTAGGGTTACAGTCACAATTTTGCTTGTCGAAATTACCTTGGCTGCACAAAGGGCTCGAAGAGGCGCAGTTATTAAAATTACGTGGTTGGTATTAGCGTTGCAAAATCCCGAGAAAAACTCCTTCCTTT